TCCTCTGGGTTGATGATTCATGAGATTACTACTGGATGTCAACTGAGATACGCGATTAAAAGCGATATGTATGCGTTGTCATTGCCAATAGGTCGATGGCTAATAACGATTTGTGTCGGGTCCCAAATTTTAGTAAATGAAAGAAGGGATGCCTTGGCAGGTTGGCGGTTCCAGGTTGTATGGACACTGGAAGCTGGTACCTTAGCATCAGGCAGGGTTTATATAAGTGGCAGTGGGAACTGGCTTAGCTAAAAGTTAGCCTACTTTGGATTTGATTGATTAGACGGTTCTTTGCGAACCCCTATTTTAACCTACTCGAATTTCCGCTTACAACGGAAGAACCAACGTCGACAACAGTCCGGCCTTATTAATGATGTAATGCTGCACAAGTAAAACGGTTTCGATATGGAAAAGCAAACGACTCTGGACATAACTCTTAATGTCTAGACAAGACGCAGTTCCAACCACCAAACATCCCGCCGCTGCACCTCGATTGCTTGCTAATAAAAGTTAAGCGTCGTCTCTAAATGTCCTTGTAACCTTTACTAGCCACACTCACCCGGTCACACTTGTCTGCTTTGAGTGGGAGAGTCTGCTGCCGTAATTCATTCCTTCAACGCTGACACAAAGGTACTTGTCGGGGTGGAGTGGACTAATATACCACTCTCTCTCCCCTACTTCCTCCGAAACTTTCAATGCATTCTTTCGCTGCAAAAGGTTCTTGTGTTTTCCACCCAAATATCGCGCATAGTCGCTTTAATATATGTGCATGTATAGGTGCGTGATAAATTGACATGACCTACGTGCGGGAGGGATAGTTGCACCATCCTGGATTGAATTATGGCCTCTTGGCCGTGGGTATGTTGGCGACAAACCAAACAAGAAGTAGAGATTTATGGAGCTGCTTCCGAGCCTAGTGCATTCAAGTTTTAGCATACTCAGTGACACTGCTTGTCGAGGCTTCTGTTGAGGTGTTTGTGGCGGCTGCGAAAGTGGCTGTTCAATTTCTATATAGCCGATCAAGTAAGGACAATCGTACCAGAGTTTTTAGGAGAATCAGCAATCAGTTTACCTTGAGCACTTTGGATTTCCGCAGCATATCCCAAAATAAATCGTTTTCTTGTAAGAACCCATCACTTGAGTTTTATCTCTTCTGTGTGTAGCGCTGGGCCAACCG